CAGGTGTGGTGATGCACGCCTGTTGTCTCAGCTACTTGGGAGGCTAAGGTGGGAGGATCATCTGAGCATGGGGAGGTCTAGACTGTATTGAGCTGAGATTATGATGTTGACTCCAGCCTGGGAGACAGGGTGAAACCCCGTCACCAAAAAAAAAAAAAAAAAAAAAAAAGTAGCCAGGATTATAATATAATAGAGTCAGTTATAGAATAGGTGTAGAATTTTGGGTTCTGCTTTTTTAACTTAGTGTTAAAGCAAACGTAATCTCTTGATGTTGTAAGTTCTTCATAAACATTCTCAGTGGCTGCATAATATTGCATGTATATGTTATGCCTTTCATAATCATTCCCATATTTTGGGGCCATTTAAAATAATACTGCAGTGAAAAACCAATTAAATTGCAAAATGCAATTTAAAAAATATAAAAATGATAAAGGTTTTGGTTTGTGCCTGCCTTTTTTCGAAGAGATCTTTGAAATGTTGTATTTTAGCACCTTGTCATTTGAATGATTTAGTATTATTCAACACTCTTTTTAGACCTAAATGATTAGAACTATTCTGGAATAAAAATAACTTTTAAATATGCATATTATTACTATTTTTTTAATGTCTTGAGAGTTCAGGGCTCTTTTCAAATGGACTGTTTTTGAGAGTCTAAAGTTTAGCAAATTTATATAACTGACCAAATATAGTCCAGATAATAAAATCAGATATGGTATTTTTGAAAATTTATCAAACTGGTTTAGAGGATTTCTTATTTAATATTATTTAATCTGAAATCTGAATTTGCCATTATAAGGGTTTCTTCACATTTTATACAAACTTCTGCAGACATATTATTTATTGCTTGTTATATTGTGTATCTTAAGTTAAAAAAAAAGAATTGGTGAGTTTTAATGAGTGTAAAGTAAATTTCAGTTTGAAAAGCCTTCCTGAAGGAAATAATCAATGGAATTTAAAATGATTAAATAGATGAATTTTTTTTTTTTTTTTAAAGAGACAAAGGCTTGCTCTGTTTCGCAAGCTGGAGTGTAGTTGTACGATCACAGCTCACTGCAACCTTGAACTCCTGGGCTCAAGGGATCCTCCTGTCTCAGCCTCCCAAGTAACTGGCTGGGACTACAGGCACGTGCCATGCTTGGCTGAATTTTGTTTGTTTGTTTGTAGAGACAGTGTCTTGCCATCTTGCTGTGGCTGGTTCCGAATTCCTGGGCTCAAGCAGTCTCCCGCCTCAGTCTCCCGAGGCGTTGGGATTACAGGTGTGAGCCACTTCTCCTGGCCTGAACTTGGTTTTCTATGGAAGGAGGGAGGTTGACAAATTGCTAATCTGATACAGAATTTCAAGATCTATTCTTGAGAATCCTAAAATTTTTCCATGTTTGAAGCATTAGCAAAGGATGTTAAAAATAAACTTTTTTAAAAAAGAACAAATATAGAAGAGAAACTAGCATATTAGAGTTCCTAAAAAGGAGGAACTAGTTTTATTAGGCATTAGGGGAGAGTAGGAGAGATTATGTGGGTAAATGATGACAACAAGCAAATAGCAATCAAGGGTAATAATTTATTTTCTGTTTAGAATTTTGTAGTACTTTGGTAGAAAAGTGTTGGCAAGCTCAAGGAGGAAGGTGAATACTCAACCACCCTAGATTTTGAGTGTATGCATTTAATTCATTTATTGAGAACATTTTCTTTGGGAGTATCAATCATATAAATTGGCATTTAATATGGTCAATTAATGCTATCTTTTAAAGCTATTTTAATGGATTAAGTAAAAAACAGAAGAATGGATAGAGATTAGTAAACCGGAAATAACAGAGGCCTCAGTCAAAGCTGTCAGGAATATGTCAAACCTTTTTTTTTTTCAGAGTTGAGTGTCTAGGGGGCAATAGTTGGAGAGGTAATAGATCTGCAGTTCTCAGTGGCTATTATGTTTATACAGAATGTAAATTATTATGTCGGATAAAGGATCAAGTCTGAGAAACAGGCTGATAGAGGCTGTATTTAAGAAATAAGAGTAATTTAAAAAATTTATGTATTTTCTAGCATTTGCCTCAAGGATTGAAATTTTGTTTTACTTGTGTTTACAGGTAGAATTCTTTATTTAAAAAGTCAGTTGAGGCCGGGCGCGGTGGCTCAAGCCTGTAATCCCAGCACTTTGGGAGACCGAGACGGGCGGATCACGAGGTCAGGAGATCGAGACCATCCTGGCTAACAAACCCCGTCTCTACTAAAAAAATACAAAAAACTAGCCGGGCGAGGTGGCGGGCGCCTGTAGTCCCAGCTACTCGGGAGGCTGAGGCAGGAGAATGGCGTGAACCCAGGAGGCGGAGCTTGCAGTGAGCTGAGATCCGGCCACTGCACTCCAGCCTGGGCGACAGAGCGAGACTCCATCTCAAAAAAAAAAAAAAAAAAAGTCAGTTGAATATCAAAACTATTTGATATTCTTCAGACTGGAATTTTATTCTGTAGTGTAGAAGAAAACATTTTCTGCTTACAAAACAAATAGTAAATACTCTAAAACAGGGGTTGGCAAACCTTTTTTAAATAAAAGGCCAGAGGGTAACTATCTTTTTGGTTTTGTGGGCCACGTATTGATAATTATTGTAGGTTTTATGGGCCACGTATGGTGTCATTCTCCTATTCTCTCTCTCTCTCTCTGTCTGTGTGTGTGTGTGTGTGTGTGTGTATATTTTTTTTTGGTGGGGGGATGGAGTCTCATGATGTTGCCCAGGATGGCCTTGAATGCCTGGTCTCAAGTGATCCTCCCACCTCAGCCTCCCAAAGTACTGGGATTACAGGCATGAGCCACCATGCCCGGCAAAGAGAGATGACATTGCAAGTAAAGTAGAGATGTGGACAGATTTGAAAGCATTTTAATTATGTTTTCTTTTTTTTTTTTTTTTTTTATGTGTGTATTTTTAAACAACGATTTAAAAATGTTAAAACCTTTCTTAGCTTCTGGGCCATATAAAAGCAGGCAGTGGGCCACATTCTGGCATGGAGCCTTAGTTTGCCAGCCCCTCCTCTAAAATACTTTTTCCAAATGTTTGAGTGTTAAATTTTATTATGATGCTTGTGTTATTAAAAATATTGTATGTTTCTAGAGGGAACCAGGGGGTTCTTGAGACCAGATTTTTGTGCAACTTGGGCAAAAATACTAGACTCTGAGAGTGTATAGTGAAGATTGAGTTGAAGGAATGGAGGGTTCAGTCAGGTCAAAGACAAGATTACACATTTATTGGAATGGCAATAAGCCTTAAAAGTTGTAAGGGTAGAGTTGTTTGGGACTAGTAGATACTAATTATCTAGGGTATTCAGTTTCTTTTCCCATTAGTATTTTTTTCCCTATTGGCTGGGTAAGAACTTTACCACCTTTCAGCCTCCTATCCCTTTTGTCCATTTTAACGAAAATGAACGCTGAACAGGATTGGCCTGAAAAGGATCAGGGCATCTAGGTTTTACCCTGGCTCTTCTGCTGACTTGTGTGACATTTGACTTCTTTGAACTTAAGTGTTTTCATCTGTAAGATAGGACTGTTTAGATAATTTCTTAGCTGTCTTCCATCTTGAATTCCTTATTTTTGTGATTCTGACAAATGAGCTTGATTTTATTTGCTTCTATTCTGTTCTGTTGGTTCTGCTCTTTACCTCAATCTGTATCCACTGGTCTCAACCCTCTATTACTTTAATTTAACTGAACTGTTTTCCCAAATTACTCTGAATTGTAATCCGAGGATGGGAATTCCATTGACTCTACTCTGTATTGGGGAGAAATACTTCAACAAAACAAAGTAGAAACCCACTCTTTCTAAATGTCAGATGTTTTCAAAAACAGGATATTAATTGATTAGGAATATATAGTATCAGACACTTTTTTCTATTAAAAGGACAATATAGTATTAAGTAGTATACTAATTTTTATTACATTCATCATATCTATAAGGTAGTAGTAGGGTTGGTTCTTAACATGGATTATGTTATGTGTTTTAGGGATGGTAAATTTTAAAGAAATTCCATCTCTAGCTTTGTTGCTGTTATCCTGTCCATTCTTTGGAAGCATATTATTAAAACAAATGACATTTTTGATCTTCAAACTGATAGTGGAGTTAAATTAACATTAAATATTTCCCCAGAATATATTATTGGAGTAAACATGTAATTTCACTGAATACTTGTACAGGCACACATACCTTTAAGTCAGTGTAGTGTAACATTATTATAAAGATGAATGTTTTTTACTGTGCCTATTATTTTGTGTCCTTTTCTAGTAAGTTTTTTTTAATAAAAAGTTTGCAAAACACTTTTCAAACTAAAATCCTTATCAGTTTGTAAACTAAAATTTTTCTAAGCGAGGCCCATCTTTTTTCTTAGCTAGTAAAATTAGTCAGTACCTGTCCATGTTCAAGTTTGTGATGGCTTAGAATAAAAGATTAACCAAGGTCAAAAGGCAACATAAAGAACTTAAGAAAGTAGTGCTCATCCCACCTTCCCAAGGGCTGAGTAGGACTCACTGGGCCAGGCGTTAAATTAGTTAGCAGGTAACAAGTAAAGGAGCTGGAAAAGAATTAATATAAAATAATGTAGTTGGAAGTAATTGTTCTCAAGAGCTAGGTATTGAAAGGCAGTGGCAGATCTAAACCTTAAGAACTCAACAAGTAGGGTAGCTTTTACTGTCTAAAAACTTTAGGCTGGGTGTGGTGGCTCATGCCTGTAGTCCCAGCACTTTGGGAGGCTGAGACAGGTGGATCCCTTGAGGTCAGGAGTTCGAGACCAGCCTGGCTAACATGGCAAAACTTCATCTCTCCAAAAAATGCAAAAATTAGCGAGGTGTGGTAGTGCATGCTTGTAGTCCCAGCTACTCAGGAGGCTGAGGTGGGAGTATCACTTGAGCCCAGGTGGTCGAGGCTGCAGTGAGCCATGTTCATGCCACTGGATTCAAGTATGGGCAGCAGAGTGAGACACTGTCTCAAAAACAAAAGAACCAAAAAAGTTTATATAGATAGCCTTGCTTAAGAATTTCCAATTTTGGCCAGGCTCAGTGGCTCACGCCTGTAATCCCAGCACTTTGGGAGGCCAAGGTGGGTGGATCACCTGAGGTCAGGAGTTCGAGACCATCCTGGCCAACATGGTGAAACCCTGTCTCTACTAAAAATACAAAAGTTAGCCGGGTATGGTGGTGGGCACCTGTAATCCCAGCTACTCTGGAGGCTGAGGTAGGAGAATTGCTTGAACCTGGGAGCAGAGGTTGCGGTGAGCTGACATTGTGCCACTGCACTCCAGCCTAGGTGGAAAGTGAAACTCTTGTCTCAAAAAAAAAAAAAAAAAAAAAAAAAATTTCCAGTTTTAATTAAGGAGATACACTGAAGGTTATCAATATGTAATTATGCATAGAAAGTAGACTTTTTATACTTCCCAATTAATTTCCTACATAATTTTTATATCACTTTATAAAAAGCTGAAAATTACTCAGTTTGTTAGTAACTAATTTGTTTTATGAATGATACATAATTTGAAGAATAATTGTAATTTAAATATGTTTATTTGAAACATTAGCTTACTAATAAAAAAATTGAGACATACTTAAAAACACCCAATTTAGTTGGGTTAATCCACTGTAACTGTTTGACTGCAGATGTTTTCCCACACTGATGGGCAGCTAACTGAGGTAGTGCTATCCAATACAGTCAACTCTCAGTTATCTGTGGTAATGGGAAATGACAATGCATGGATAATCCTAAAACAAAATATTTTATACAGTACCTTCCTGTCATCTGCTGTGGCCTGAGCATGTGCTTGGGTTCATGAGGGAGATGTGGGAGTGGGGCTCAGGCTTGCAAAGGAACTGGGAGTCAGTATGGTTATCTCAAGGCCATAAAAGGTATCCTTAAGGAACCTGGGTTTCGCACTGTGGCTGAAGTGTCATGGGGGAAGCCTGCAGCATGCGAGATCAGCTTGGCAATATCAGTGAGAAGGATGGGGAAACTAATTAATAAGGAACTGTGGGAGAATAGATGTTTAAGTCCTACACAATTGCAGTGATATATCTTGGTGTGTTTTTTGGTTAACAAGATCTGTAGCAAACAATAATTATATTAATTGTGTACTTGCATTAGTTATGTTCGTCTTTGATTGCTAGCAGAACACATTTTTTACTTGCCACAGGTGAGTGCTGTTGTTGAGGCCTCTTCTAAATAAGTAGGTTTGTTGTCATATAACTAGTCACTTAAAAAACCCAGGATAAATTTGAAATACTTTTCTTACTTTTAAAATTCATCCTAAATATCAGTGTTGAACTTGTACTTCCAGAATTTAACTTAATGAAATTTAACATTATAATGTCAAAGAATATCCTGAAGGCAAATGCCATAATTACTGATAGCTGTGAATTTGATTTAGGAAAAACATAGTAGCCATATTTTATTTAAGAATATGTTACAGGAGCTTTCCTAAATTTCTTTTACAGCTGACAATTGTCTACGAATTTATCAATGTTAAAGCTGCATGATAGATGTGAGGAGGGAGTGTTTATTATTCTGTCTAATTTGACTATGCTTATTTTCTACAAGTGAAAGCTATAAAAAAAAATTGAAGCAGATGATTGCTGAAAACCTTTAGAATCTTCTGGACCAACCTGAGAATCTTCTGCTTGTTTATGAAATAGATTTAGTGCTCTCTGTCAAATTATTCAAACTCCAAATAGAACCGTGGCCATTTTTTTTTTTTTTGAGACGGAGTCTCGCTCTGTCGCCCAGGCTGGAGTGCAGTGGCCAGATCTCAGCTCACTGCAAGCTCCGCCTCCCGGGTTCACGCCATTCTCCGGCCTCAGCCTCCCGAGTAGCTGGGACTACAGGCGCCCGCCACAACGCCCGGCTAATTTTTTTGTATTTCTTAATAGAGACGGGGTTTCACCGTGTTAGCCAGGATGGTCTCGATCTCCTGACCTCGTGATCCGCCCGTCTCGGCCTCCCAAAGTGCTGGGATTACAGGCTTGAGCCACCGCGCCTGGCCGGCCATTTTCTAAAGGCATATTTTCTCCTGCCCATAGGAACTCCTGCAGTTCCACCCGGTGTGGTAGTATGATGGCAAGAATACAAATTATACCCTTGTTAGATTACGTTTATTATTATAGATGTTTTTTAAAAGTTATTTACTTCAGATATCTATACTTAGGCAAATTAGAGGCGTTGATCTTGAGTCGACTTGTGAAAAAATTTGGAAACAATTGCGATTTGAGATTGAATGAAGTAAGGGACCAGCTAATTAGTCCTTCCTCTATAGATCTTTGGTTCTCAACCAGGGAAGTTTTGCCCCCAAGGGGACATTTGGCAATGTTAGACATTTTTGGTTGTCACATCTCATGGTAAGGGAGTGCTACAGTTACCTACCTGGATGCTTTTCTATATTCTACAATTCTCAAGACAGCAGCCTTCACCCCCACCCACAACAAAGAATTATCAAGCCCAAAATGTCAATAGTGCCACTGTTGAGTTACCCTGCCCCTAGTGTTTCTAAGATGTAGGCATTCTTTGAAGTAGACAATTAAAAGCATCATATAGCCAAACTAAATTACTTTGACTTTCTGTATACTTATGCTGTTAAAAAATTATGTTTAAAAAATATGCCTTCAGTTTTTACTGAGATTTGATATAAGAAGCAACAACAAATATATTTTTAAAGAGTTTAGTCCTGGGAAACATTTCACTTTCCTGATGAATTGATATATTTCTTTGTAACTCATTATGTTTCTACTTTGCCTTCTCTCCCTGGAGGCTTAGTGCCATTTTTTTTGCTCTATTATAACAATGACCCCTTATTTTAGGCTTATTGTTATCTTTTTATTTGCTGTATTGGTCTTCCTTTTTACTGTTACGGTCTGTGGGTTTGGGCTTAGTGTGTGTTTGTGTGTATATGAAGAGAACATATGGGTAATATGTAAATGTCCCCAATCCCTAGACCAAGTCGCATCTCTATAAGATCACATGAAGAGATTTCTAATTTATATTTTCATGCTTTTTTAAAGTCTCAATTTTTTAAACAATTAAGAAATATGTGCTTGTTAGAAAATATTACTGTGTGTGAGTGTAAATAATAAGTGGAAGATGATTTCTCCCTGTTCATTCTCCAGAGATTTATTAATATTTATAGTACATGCCAGGCACGGTGGCTCATGCCTATAATCCCAGCACTTTGGGAGACTGAGGCAGGAGCATTGCTTGAGGTCAGGAGTTGAAGACCATCCTGGGCAACACAGTGACATCCCATTTCTACAAAAAATAAAATTAGCTGGGCATGGTGGTGCACGTCTGTAGTCCTAGCTACTCAGGAGGCTGAGGTGAGAGGATCGCTTGAGCCTAGGAGTTCAAGACTACAGTATACTGTGATTGTCCCACTGCACTCCAGCCTGTGTGACAGAGTGAGACTGTGTTGCAAAAAAATGTATCTTTATAGTATGCAGATTTGAAATAGAAGCTATAAGCTTGTAATTCTGTTATGGTTGGTCAGGTTTACACTCTTGTAGTTTCATTTCTGAATAAGTTAAGTACATTTCTAAAAACTGAGGAGAATAAAAACAATGTCTTGAGGATTATATTTTCTGATGAACCTTTTATTGATCTGATAGACCCATTTTATTAAAAAAGTGTCATATTTTGTTTTTTGAAGCATTCTTGATGGTATGAAATAATATTTCTAGCCCATATTTTTAATGATTCAGAATGACTCACTAAACTTTATTCAAGGCCAGGTACATTGGCTTACTCCTGAATCCCAGCACTTTGGGAGGCCAAGGTGTGTGGATCACTTGAGCTTAGGAGTTCAAGACCTGCCTGGGCAACATGGAAAAACCCCAACTCTACAGACAGTATAGAAATTAGGCCAGCATGGTCGAACACGCCTGTAGTCCCAGCTCCTTAGGAAGCTCAGGCGGGAGAATCATTTGAGCCTGAGAGGTCGAGGATGCAGTGAGCCATGATCGGGCCACTCCACTCCAGCCTGGGCAACAGAGTGAGACACTGTCTCATAAAAATAAACTTTAATCAAAATGTGATTAATTTCCATTTCTCTAAAGTTAAAAATTAAGTGAATTCCAATGTCATCACTAATACGCAAACTTAACTTTTCTGTTATAGTTTTCCCAAGCAGTTGAAGAGGAAAGCTATTCTCATAATTAGCCTAACATGCATAGAAAAGTTTAGAGATGATTTTTTTCTTGAAAAGAAATACTTAAAATTGTAAGATTACTACCATTGTTAGTTTTTTATTTGAGGTTCTGTTTATACATGCATTAGCTCTGGAACATACAGATCCTGTTGTTTTTAAGATCTCTTGGTTGTAGAGAAATAAGAGACTTTGAATTAGTTTCAAGCTTACCTCATACTTGAGGCAGTTTAGAAGGATAGATGATCCATGTTCAGATTTCTTAAAGTAGTATTTTATAATGTCATTATGATTATCTTTTCTCTTCATTGTTACTACCAGGTTCTTTTACAAAGGGGAAATTAAAGTAGGACATTGAAGTGGGACTGGGGAAGAGTTAGCAAAAAATGTGTCTGTTGATTGCTGCTTGAGCTAGGAATTGGTTGTAAGAGATGTGAACCATTTTAGTGAAGTGATCTTTCAAACTCTTTTGACTGCAACGCAGGAAAAATTTTTTTTTACATTTTATTCAGCACATAATTCATGTATCTATTTATATACGTAATAAACAGACTTTTCAAGAAACAGTGCTTTTACCTTACTGTGTGTACATGCAGTCTGATGTTTCTGTTCTATTTGGTTTGAAATAATTGCTGCTTACATACCACTAAATTGCAGCTTGCAGTTTAAAAAAATTTTGCTTTAGTGTACTAACTACCTGTGTATGTGGAGAAATTCACCCTCTGTTAGCAAATAGAAGATTATAATTACAGTACATTCTTACTCTTATGTCCTATGGAGCATTTAATAAATATAAATAAATTAATGAAATATTTTACAGGCATTTTGCCATGATAAAAATATAAGCAACTTTGCCCAAGCAACTTGGTCTTTTGGGGTCAAAAAATGGCTGTTTTGTTTTTTGAGACAGGGTCTTGCTCTGTCATCCAGGCTAGAGTGCAGTGGTGCAGTCATGGCTCTCTGCAACTTTGACTTCCTGGACTCAAGCGATTCTCTCACTTCAGCCTCTCAAATAGCTGGGATTACAGGCACATGCCATCATACCCAGCTGCTTTTTGTAGAGACGGGATTTCGCCTCGTTGCCCAGGCTGTTCATGAACTCCTGGGGTCAAGCAGTCTGCCCACCTTGGCCTCCCAAAGTACTTGGATTACAAGCCTGAGCCACTGTGCCTGGCTTTATTTTTAACATTATATTTCAGCCCTCTTTCCTTTTAAATAAAAAGATGTTTAGGCCAGGCGCGGTGGCTCAAGCCTGTAATCCCAGCACTTTGGGAGGCCGAGACGGGCGGATCACGAGGTCAGGAGATCGAGACCATCCTGGCTAACACGGCGAAACCCCGTCTCTACTAAAAAATACAAAAAACTAGCTGGGCGTTGTGGCGGGCGCCTGTAGTCCCAGCTACTCCAGAGGCTGAGGCAGGAGAATGGCGTAAACCCGGGAGGCGGAGCTTGCAGTGAGCTGAGATCCGGCCACTGCACTCCAGCCTGGGCGACAGAGCGAGACTCCGTCTCAAAAAAAAAAAAAAAAAAGATGTTTAAACATGAATAGAAATTATAGGTCATTAAAAATGTAACTAGATTAATTTCAGGGGCTTTCTTAATCACTATATTAGTCTGAATCTTAATGGAGAGGACAAAGTTAGCGTGCTTTAACCCAGGGGTTGGCAAACCTTTTCTGTAAAGGAGCCAGCTAATATATACTTCAGTTTTTGTGGGCCATGCTGTCTCTGTTGTGGCTCATCTCTGCCATTACAGTGTAAAGTCTAGACAAATAAGCAAGTAAGCAGCATGGTTGTATTCCAATAAAACTTTACTTATGGAAAAGGAAATTTGAATTTTATATAATTTTCACGTGAAGGGTTTTTGTTGTTGTTGTTCTTTTATCCAAACATTAAAAAATGTTAACACTACTCTTAGCTTGTGGGCTGTAAAAATCAGGTGATGGACCAGATTTGGCCATGGTTTACCAGCCCTTGCTTTAACCTGAAAATGGAGGAAGTCAGTAGTCCAGAAGAATAAAATTTAGCAAGCATAGTTTAGAATATGAGTAGCAATATTAAATCTCTAGGCATATATATTTTGATTTTTGTGGATATTAGAACTGTACATTTTTGTGGTTTTTACTTTATATTTTGCAGACAGTTGATATTCATAAAGAGAAAGTTGCAAGAAGAGAAATTGGTATTTTGACTACCAATAAAAACACTTCAAGGACGCATAAGATTATTGCTCCAGCCAACCTTGAACGACCAGTTCGTTATATTAGAAAACCTATTGACTATACAATTCTAGATGATATTGGACATGGAGTAAAGGTAGGTATAATTTTTTTCAAGCTTTTAAAAGTAGTAACCCATAATGAAACTAACTCTTGAGAAAATTAAGCTTTTTATCTATCTTTCTTTCCTAGAGGACAAAGTCTTGGCCCAGTTGTCGTGAAGATTCCTTGCTACTATAACTGTTTTACCCTTTTTGCTTTTTCTTAGTGCTGTATTCTCAGGTTTTAAACAATCATCTTTGAATGAATTGTATTTGCTTAGTGATGATAATACCTCCTATGGTTTGAGTAAATAAGTGTAGTGTAATCTTTCCCATTTTAATTTAATATGGCTGATTAAAAAATCATTCATCATGTTATTATGAAAGTGTTTACCTTATCTCAGGTATTTATCAGCAGACTTTGGCATTAGTTTTCAAAAACAACATATATTAATAAACATGTAGTTTGAATTTTTCTAAAATAATTTTATCCCAACATCTTGGGCAAAAATAGTGTTAGGTGAATTAATATTGCCACTGCTTTTGAGTGTGTAGCTATTACATATCTTGACTGTCTTTTAAGATGTATTTGGGTGCCTAAAACATGGAAATTTCATTTAAATTGGTATTTGAACCTAATGATTCAGAGCTTTAGCTGAGTATCAACTTACATCTGATCAGTAGTTTGAAAGACAGTGACTTATCAGATATGAGTAAATAAATATACATGTATACATGCTTATAATGATACTGTACAGTTCATGTAGTTGATTTTTTTTCTAATATAAGCATACTTAAAAAACACACACTGTTATGGATGGAAATCAGTTAAATCTAAATTTAATGTAGATCTAGGTAAAAAGAAAATATACACTGTAAATTTATTTTTAAAATCTCTCTTCAGAGTTTTGATCAAGCACTATTATCTGGAATATGGTATTTAATTTAACTTTTCTGAGACAAGGTCTCACTCTGTCACCTAGGTTGGAGTGCAGTGGCACAATCACAGCTTACTCCAACCTTGAACTCCTGGGTTCAGATGATCTTCCCGTGTCAGCTTCCCTGGGACTACAGGCACATGCCACTGTGCTGAGCTAAATTTTTTGTTTGTAGTGACAGGGCCTGTCTGTGTTGTCCAGGATGGTCATGAACTCCCGTTCTCAAGTGATCTTCCCATCTTGGTCTCCCAAAATGTTGGGATTACAGGTGTAAGCCATTGTGCCTGCCCAATATTTAATTTTATAGCCAATACCTACATGCATTTAGATTACTAATAAGAGCATGTTAAAATAAGATGTGTAATTGGATGGTTAGTTAATAACTGAAATTTATTCTAACTTGGGAAAATTTATTCAAGGCTAACAACTGCTAATGGAATATTTTAGAATACTGCCAGAATCTAATGCCAAAAAGATACTTAGAATATAAAGTGTGATATTTCTGTTTGCCCAATTATGTAAGAAAAAATTAATCTGATTTTTTTTATATATATAATTCCTATGTTTACATCCCCCATTCTTAAAATTCTCAAAGTAAAATGTTTTTCTTTTAGGATTCTAGCCCCTTCATTTTTTGACTTTCCGTGTTTAAGGATCATTAATTTGAAGAAATCTTTAATAAAATTAAATTTTTGAATAAAACAATGTCTTAAATTCATCAAAGAAACTTCTGTTCATGACACATTCTGCTTTAACCACTCTTTCTATGATCTACTGAAACATTATTTTGTTAATGCTGAATGCTTAACTTGTTTTTTCTTTTTTTCCTTTCTCTTCACATCCTGAAGTTTCAACTAACCTTTCAATGCTTTTTTTCCTTACCTCTTTTATTTGCTCCATTTATGCATTAAGTGGTTGCTTAGATTTAAGGTAAGAGATTCCAGGGCTGGATTTCCATTCTTTGTTCTTATGTAGAATATTACATATGGGGAGTTAAAGAGATAGTTAACACTTGGCCTTTTAAAACCCAATAAATAATTCCTCCTTTTTGTTTTACTTTTTGTCATGCAACTTTGTGGTGTGTCTTCATGTTCCTTGCGGGCAGATATTTTTGTCTATTTTGTTCACTGCTCTATCCTTTGTGCCTAGAACAGTACCTGACACACATTAGGTGCTTAGTAAATATTTGTTGAATGAATGGTTATTTTGTAATGTTAATATATTTTGTGAAACTGAAATGTAAGGTACCCTATCATAAAAATGTTATGAAATATAATTAGCTGGATTTTTATAAATATAGAGACTTTGTTGTGAATTGGAGGGCCAATTAATGTGCTTTATTTTACCCTCCCCCTGTGTAATAGCCTTTTTATTCTATAAATGGTGTGCTTTCTGATATACCTTATGGACAATATGTCATTATCTTTTAATCAGTATAAAGAAATTGAGAAGCAGAAAATATTCAGTGGCACAGGGTTTTTTTTTAAGTTGCAGTATCATATTTTTGTGGAAAAATTATTCTTTTTGCCAAATAGCTGAATAAAGAATATATTTCAATATAAACTTTAAAAGTTTTTAAAGGTGAATATAATTATATACAAAACATCAAAAGCCTATGACAATATTTAACAGAATATCAGTTAAGAATTAGAGATATTTCCTGTTATGATTCGTTTCAATAATGTTTTGGTATTTTGGAGGATTCGTGGTAAAAGAAATTCAACTATATTCAAGAAGCCTGCCTAAAATAGAAGGTTACTACAGTTATATACCAAACTTAGCATGCATTTCTTCTTTGATTTTTTTTTGTAGGTGAGTTTCATAGTTTATTTTCAGATATATATTCCTCCCATCTAACACCCATTATTTGCCATATCTTCAGTGTAGAAAGTGATGACAGGATGACTGAGCTTTGAATCATTAACTCTAGTACTAACTATGGCCACACAACTTTCACCTGCCCATGGTAGGTAGATTTGATTGGAAGAGCCCAAGCATATGGACTCCTGTATTGTTGATTGGATTGTTGGTTCCAAATCCTCAGTCATGGTGAGTAAGATGTGGAATTGTGAAGAAATTCCTTTTGCTTAAAATAGGTGGGTTGCAGTGAACTAGACCAAAAGCAGACTGTGGCTGCTTTGGTCCTTTTACCCTAAAGTCTGTATTCAAATTTTGACCATTGATGTGTTAACCTCCAAAGTGATAGAAGTACACGGAAAGTTTAACTGAAGAAAAAATACGGAAACAAACAAATTCTTTACCCTTAAAAGTTTAGCTTGTCCAAGCCACTGCCTTATGCTTGTTTTCTGTAAACCCCACTATGATTCCTTCTTGATGTTCCTGCATCAGGATCTGTTTCCATTGTGAGAGATAGGCCAAACTGAGAGTCTCCTAGAAAGATCTAATGAAGAATCACACTTAGATAAGATCCCTGAGCTTTTTGGAGCCTGTGGATTCTTGCAAGTATCTTAGTAGTCTCCTGATGGGCAATAGCATTATAGATTCCTTATCCTCATTTTAATCAGGGTAGCTGATTAAATGTTGCTTTAAAATGTGCTTAAAATTTAAAGCCTGTTTAAGACCTAGTCTTTTTTCTTTCTACTTCTCTTTTTATCTCTTCCTCAGCACTTTTTGAGCTCTGTCTTTGTTGCTCCCATTGCTGTCATACTTTTTATACTTTTCAGACAGACTCTAGAGAAAGTCATCATACTTTAGGACCAGACGTGTGGGATTTGACTCAGAAGAGACCTCCTTGTTTAAGAGTTTAACTTTTACTATTTTATACAGCATGTTTGATGCTTAATGGTTCTTGTCATCTGAAATTTGGATTAACTGTGTTTGTTTTTCTTCAGTCAAGTTACAAATTTAAGAATTCATAAGGTTTTTAAAAACAGTATGGTAATAGGCCGGGCGCGGTGGCTCACACCTGTAATCCCAGCACTTTGGGAGGCTGAGGTGGGCGGATCACGCGGTCAGGAGATCGAGACCATTCTAACTAACACAGTGAAACTCCGTCTCTACTAAAAGTACAAAAAATTAGCCGGGTGAGGTGGTGGGCGCCTGTAGTCCCACCTGCTCGGGAGGCTGAGGCAGGAGAATGGCGTGAACCTGGGAGGTGGAGCTTGCAGTGAGCCGAGATCGTGCCACTGCACTCCAGCCTGGGCGACAGAGTGAGACTCCATCTCAAAAAAAAAAAACAAACCAAAAACAGTATGGTAATAGTTTTACAACAAAGGACGTACAAAGTCAGTGGATAGAATGCCATATTGGAGGTGTTTTCATATATACCTAAGGCCATATGAAAGTGGAATGTACCTTGAACTGGTTCCTATTCCCTATTCTTTTTTTTCTTTGGAAACAGGGTCTCTCTCTGTTCCCCAGGCTGGAGTGCACTGGTGTGATCACGACTTGCTGTAGCCTTGACTGCCCCGACACAAGTGGTTCTCCTGCCTCAGCTTCCTGAGTAGTTGGTAGTACATGCGTGCACCACCATGCCTGGGTATTTTTTAAAAAATTTTTTGTAGTGGTGGGGTCTCACTGTGTTGGCCTGCCTGGTCTCGAACTGTGGTCAAGCCATCCTCTCACCTCGGCCTCCCAATTGTGAGCCACCATGCCTGGCCAGTACTCTTTTAGTAGTAAAAAGAATTTTTAGACCCTGTTACTGAGGTCAGTATGATGTGTTTGTAATGAATTTTTGTGTTGAAAACATTAAAATTGTCACTAATGAAGCTAAACTTAAGTATTTTTAAAATAAGCGTATTAGTTTAATCAAAAGTAATAAAAACTTATGTTTCTTAACGTATTATTTCAGTTGAACATCGCCCAAGCAGATTCTTTTTTTTTTTTTCTTTTTTTTTGAGATGGAGTGTTGCTCTGTCGCCCAGGCTGGAGTGCAGTGGCGTGGTCTTGGCTCACTGCAACCTCTGCCTCCCGGGTTCAAGTGATTCTCCTGCCTCAGCCTCCCTAGTAGCTGGGATTATGGGTGCCCGCTGCCACGCCTGGCTAATTTTTGTACTTTTACTAGAGACGGGGTTTCACCATATTGGCCAGGTTGATCTCAAACTCCCGACCTTGTGATCCATCCGCCTGGGCCTTCGAAAGTGCTGGGATTACAGGCG